AAGGGGCATCAGCAAAGGGTGGGCTGGAAAGGAGCAGCAACAAATGATGTTGCTGCAGGACAATGTTATTCCCATTTTTCCAGCTTAGAGGGATTTTAATGATATGATTTCACAGTTATATCAGCAAAGAAAGTTCTGCCATTTTATTTATTTAGCTTTTCTGGCATTGTTTGTTATACATCACTATAAAGAGGGAATATTTCTTCTGGTTATCACATCTGAAAACACAGGTGTGATATACAGCCTGTACACATCAGGAGCACCCCTGAGCAGAAGGCCACCTCTACTTTACTTTCCCTGTGGAGCCAGAAGTTGGTTTCATCTGTAGTAGATAACACATGAGTGAGTCTGTCCCTTTCATTTTCACCCAGGGTATGTCTGTGTCTCAGAAAGAAAAATTTTGAGTGATTTTGGGGATAAACCAGCTGGGTGAGGAAAACAGGGGAAGGGCAGGACAATAACAAGCTCTCAGTCTATTCAAGCCATCCAACAGGATCAACTTACCTTGCATTGCTAAAGTATCCTGGGCTGCTACCCCACTGCTGTCCTACTGACAGCTCACTGCTCTCCAAAGCAGCATCACAGAGCACTGCAAACTACAGTTCTTGCAAATACGTACAACAACAGGCAAGCTTATCCCTTCCCCCCACATCTCTTTCTTCTTGCAAACACCCATGCCTAAAAATTACCTTCTGCTTTTTGCTCAAAGAAGTCAGAGGAAAAAGAAAAGTTTTTTTTCTTTACTGAAGGACATAGGTTTTTTACTTTGGCTTAGCCACCCATCTAAAGTTTCTTAGCAATTTTCTTGTTTTTCTAAGGATTCTGGAAAAATAAAAAGAACTTTAAAGAAATCATCAACAATCTATAAGCTCAACACCTGGAAGTAAAACTGAAGAACAGTTTATTAGTGCAGTTGGAATGACTTGCAATCCCCCTAACAAATAGCATTAGCATAGCTTTGCTGAAGTTCTGGGCAAACTACCAGCCCAGATGTGAAATTTCCTCATAAGCTCTTAATATATCAGTGGCAAGAAAGGAAGGAAAGAAAATGTATTGCCACAGGTGTCACCATCTGCTCCACTGATGGTCTGAAAGGGGAACTTTGTTTTGGAGCCTCATTAGCCCATTCCCTTCCTCACTTTCTGAAAATTAGCATTCTGTTATTCACTGGGCTTTGATAAATTTCAGTGCCAAACATTAGAAACCACAAAATAAGTGAAGTGTGCTGGAGGTTTCTGAAGGTATAAAGAGGAAGCAGGTACCAAATTCCCATTGCTCTTCCCATGGGAGCTCTGACTAAAGTGCTTTCAGTGGGTCTACCTTTATTTTTTTTACCTCAAATAAAATGAAACTAGATTGTTTTGTGTCCCTGTGACAAAACAACCTACCTAAAAAAATTGTGTCTTCAGTGCACCTTTCTAGAGCCTAAGCTACCACTCCTGGTCTGTGGCAAAACATATTGACATCTCATTAGTTAAAGGTAGGGAGTCCAGTTTGATCACAACCTGTGTAGGCAGCTACAGTCCTGAATACCAAACTTAGTATGCCTGTGAACGTGGCCAAAATGACTTACAACAAGGCATTCAGATGGACTGGACCTGGATCTATTGGTGTAGTCATCTCTATCACATCTTCCATCAATTCTCCAAATTCCATCAAGTTCAAATTCTGGTCAGGCTTCTAGCCCTGAAGCCTCACTAATCCAGCATAGCAATCATTCAGCTCCTTCCCTAGGGCCTGCTTTGAAGAAAAAATAAGACAAAAAAGCCCTTTCAAGACCCAGCAGCAGAGTTCCTTGGAGTCAGAGTTTGCAGCTGAGGAAGAGCTGCTCCCCACATTTGTGTTGTACAGAGGGACATATTCTTAAAGTAAGTGCACAGTCTCTTACAATGTACCATAAATCATAGATGTCCTCCTGCCCACAGGCCAGAAGGTGGAGGGCATTTTTTTATACTGAGTGCACATTATTTTATGGGAATATTGGCACTGCTACATATGTATGTCTGGGGCAGGGGCGGAGTGGGGGTGAGTGAGGGGAGCAAGACTGCTTTTCTTTGTCTTTGCTGACTATGGCCTCTACACTAAAAGCCCATTCCAATTTAGGAGTCAAAGAATCTGAGAAAAATTAACAAGATAAAACAGTGGCTGTCTGGTTTAGACAACACAGTAGAAAAACCCCACAACAATAAATGTGAACATGGCAGAGAGCAATGCAGAAAAAGGAACAGAGTTGAAGAGGCATTTTGTAGATTAAAAACTGTTGCCATAAATATTTAACTGAAACCCATAAAAAAGCTCCCATTCAGCATGTAAAAAATGTAAGCAAATTGGAGTAGAAGTTAAGCCAGTGTAATATTAAACTGATTAAAGATAACAGATTCTATCAAAATGCTTGTGCCAGTATTGAGTTTTCTGAGTCTTTCATCTTAGATAGTGTATTTTACAGAATCACAAAACCACTGCTTAGGCTGGAAGAGACCACAGTGGGTCATCTGGTTTAATCTCCTTGCTCAAGCAGAGTCATCCCAGAGCTCATTGCAGAGGATTGCATCCGGACACTCCTGGAATACCTTCAGTAAGGGAGACTCCACAGCTGCTCTGGGCAATATGCTTCAGTCCATGGTCACCTGCACAGTAAAGGGGTTCTTCCCCATATTCACGTGGAACTTTCCACCACTTCCTTCCCATTGCCTCTTCTCCTATTGCTTGGCACCATGAAGAAGAGCCTGGCTCTGTCCTCTTGACCCCTTCCCTGCAGATACTTACAGACACATATGAGGTCCCCTCTCAGTCATCTCTTCTTGAGGCTAAACAGACCCAGTTGTCCCAGCCTCTCCTTGTAAGAGAGATATTCCAGTCCCTTCATCATCTTTGTTGCCCCTCCGCTGGACCTGCTCTGGGAGCTTCATGTCTGTCTTGTACAGAGGAATCCAGAACTGGACACGGCACTCCAGATGTGGCCTCACCAGAATGAATAGAGGAGCAAGATAACCTCCCTTGACCTGCTGGCAATGACCTTTTGTAATGCACCCATTTTTGGTTTTTTTCTTATGAAACAAAATATATAATAAAATGTAACACCTGTCCTACAGCAAGAGACTGAATTCTCCAAGGAAAATTAATTTTGGCAAAATACTCTTCAGTTTTACAGTCTTTCCCTATCTCAGGGAAAATTTGGCAACACTTTGCCCTATTCCCTAAGACATCTGTTCATTCACATAAAAAACCAAGCTGGACAGGTTTGCCAACCAAGACATTACCTTCAGAAAAACCAAGGCTCTTTTATTTAAAATCCACATGAGAAAATAGTGGTAGAGAGTTCAGTTTCACCATCTCTCTCTGTTCTCATAGCAACCCTGATAAACTGGGCATGAATCCAGGGCTGGGAATTGAATTTACACTTTAAAGATTACCTGAACCACAAACCTACATTGCTTCCTTCCAGGCAGGTTTGTGCATTGTTATGTTCCCATTCCCTAGAGGTGGGCAGTCACACACCTCAGGTGTGCCTGTACCAGTGCACAGAGGCGTCTGCAGTTCTCTCCTGGGAAACTGTTCCTCTTCTGCCTGCTGAGAACAGAACCATGCCAGGACAGGCAGGAAGCACAGAAGTCACTGTCTGGCCCTTCCTTCTGTCTATAAGTCACTGGGAGTCTGCACAGATTGTGCACAAGGGCAGGATAAGGGGAGGCATCATGGAACTTCTCCAGTGTGGAGGGACTATTTCTTCCAGCGTGACTGTTGGCAACAATGCCCTGCAGACCTGAAAAGGTTTTCCCTGCACTGGCTGGACCCAGTAAGAACTGAAGGCTCATCTCTCTGAAAATAATTGAGCAAGGAGATGGAAACACAATGTGCAGTGTCCAAACCACAGAATAGCAATAATCACTGACCAAGGAGCAAAGGAAGATTTTGCATTTTTGCCTCAGAGGTTGGCATGAAATCTTTTTGAAAGACAGGAAATTTTCATTAATACCAACCAGTGTGTTGCAGAGAGAACTACTTTCTCATGGGACATACAGAGTGCATTGCAGGAAGGAAGGAGTGGTGTGAGGAAAGGGGTTGAAATGGAGGGATGGATGACGCACTGCTGGGGATCTGGGACCTGATCCCACATTGTGGGAGACTCCAAAGAGACACCATAGAGTTCAGATACACATGCAGCTACAACTCCACCACAGACTACTTAGGTCCCCAGCTAGGAAAGAACCAGAGGGAATGTGACTTCCTGAAGGAGCTGTCAGGCATGGCTGGCAGCAGCAAACTCAAAAAGAAAAAATGTTGTGGGGCAATGGAAACCATGGAGGGGCTGCAACTAGAAAGGCAGTATTCTCTGAAAACTCCTTGGGCTCACACATTTATTTCCCTGAGGGGAAAATGGGCAATATTCAGTACAGTATTTTAGCCATAGCTATTCCCTCAGCATTACAAATACAGGCAAGATCTCACCACATGGTTTTTGGGAGTTTTACTGGGAGGACCCAAAGGAGCTGAAACAGGGTTATGTTCCCCCAGTCGCAAGGAATGGGCTGTAGCTTACCCAATTAAATCACAGCAGAGAGAAACCTGATATTAAAGAAGTGATTTGAGGAGGTAATGTTGGAGGTTGGTTTAGATCAAACTCTGAATTGAGTTCAGTAGGTAGGGCAACTGCCTGAAACTATGAGAAATGAAGGATTCGCCGCAAGATAATTGTGAAATGATGTGATTTCCTCTAATCTCTTAACTTCAGTCTTGGTTCCCAACTTTTTGCAGCTCCCTTTCTGTTCACATATATTTCTTTCCATTGTCTTTCCCATTCCCTTTACTAGCTCTCTTTTCATGAATTCTGAAGAGGATATTCTGTTTCCAAGAAAATCTCCCAGTCTTCCAACCCAGAACTAAATAATAGTTACCTAATATAGTTTAGGTAAACAATATTTACCTAAAATCTTGGAGCTAAAAATCCCACAGCTAAACAATGCTGAACACAGCTTTAAGGAGACAATTTCTCAAGTGTGGGCAGAGCTTCAATGATTTTTAATCATGTTAATATTGATAAAAAAAAATTAAACTTTCAGGTGCCAGAAAATATGCCACATGAAATTCTAATAATTTTAAGATATATAAGATCAGTGTTAAAAACCTTCTTTACATTTATAGATTTCAGCATTTGAAAAGCCATTTCTAAGCCCCTACTTAGAAGGTAAGTGCAAATAAGTAGTGTTATTGCAGAAGAGTTTTACAAAATAGTTTTATGGTTGTAAGAACATTTTAAGTAATACAGTCTGTATTATTTCCTGATTTCCTACCACAATTAACTTTGTTTATTGGCATTAATTTAACCTAAAGATATTTATTCAGCCAGTTGATCATATCCTTTCTTCCTCCCTCAATGTAAGGTTTATCTTGAGGATTGATATCTTCTCTTTTGCGATGCACAAACCCATGTGTCTGTCCAGGGTAAATTTTAACTTCATAATCAACTTTACAGTTTTGTTTAAGCTTCTGCTCCAGCAAGGTGACCTGCAACACAGAACATTCTATGTTGGCTGAGTACAAAGTTAACACATTATATATTTACAGTCCCAAAACTGTCCTCAATTTTTACTTTTCTGAAAGATAGAAGTAATTTATCCTTGCACTGTTTTCTCTTCTACTAATTTTATAACTAAACGCATTTCTGTTACTGCACTTGGTTTATTTAACTAGGCTTTTTTTTCCCCAGTAAAATACCAGCATGTGACTGCATAAAATGTAAAAAAAATATTACATGGATTACTATTGATACTTGTAAAGGTGAAAAACCTACTGGTCAGCATCATGAGAAGGTTATCATGTAGTGAACACCGTATGAGTTGCTGCTGATAGACCACAAATTTAAAAAATTGGGACAAGAATTTGAATTAGAAGTTGAGGGAGAAGGGGCGGAGACAAAATCAGCAGTTCAAAGTGGCTGGAATTTTTGCTATGAAAGTTAAAGCCAACATCACTCAAAAACGTGTTTCCCTTTGATCCCCTTAGCAGATAATCATCTTTCTCCAACCATTCTCCACTCAGACTGCAGAGAAAGGATGTTGACAGAGTGACAGAAAGGAGAACCTATGCAGGACAGGGGGAAAAGGAAAAGGATACCACAGGGTCTTTTTAATTCTCCTATAAGTGATTCCATTAGAACAGGCAGATTTTATGGACCATTGGTATCACTAAAAATGGTCTCCTATCGTAAACTTGTCGGAAGGCTTTCTCTGGATTCTTGCGCTTTTCCAAGGAATTGAAAATCACCCAAATTTTCAAACAGGAAGAGAAAATCCTTTTAGTGTCATGGTAAAACTTTTTGATTTGGGGATAAACAACAAAAATTTGTGTAGAAGTACTGTAAGAGTTAGTGAAAGAGAAAGGAAAGTACAAATTAGTTGTCTACTTTGTGTTCATTAAAACCAAATTACAAAACAAGCATGAAAAGCATTAAGAAGTGAAATATCTATGATGGGAAACTCACCTGCTCCAATGGAATAATGTTATCCTTCTCACCAAAAATGAAGAAGGTAGGATGCAGCAAACTGTGTTTGTCCTCAAAATGGCTAATCACTCCTAAGGAAGAAGAAAACATACATACAACAAGTTATGCTATCTAAAGTAGCTAAAACGCTACAAAATCTGTACAATGAAACTTCCAATACATTTTCATCAGTTACAGCTGATCAGTTTGTAGTGGAATTTAACACACTCGGTTTAAAAGTTCTTTTTGTTGTTGAATGTTTGCAATGTCATTAAAGATAATATCAGTTGTGTGAAAAAAAGAAAAACCAGAGACCAGTTCTGTGGGAAAAATCAGGAATGAACTGTTACATTTTCCCCATTTTTGTGGCTTGCTTTAAGCAACTGCTATTGACCACTGTCAGAGACAGGGTTCTGTGAGAGATGGACACTTTGGAACTGCTCACCTCTGGCCTGGGAAGACCATTTTTAAGATAATTGTTACTATTCATCATTCCACATAGATGGTTACAATATCAGTGTACATATATTTACATTGATATGATTTCATAACAAATTGACATTGTAATTTTGACTATTCAAATGTATTTGAATAAAAGTTACAGTAGAACTAACCAGCTGCCACCCTGGCTACTCTTTTCATTCCTGAGATTATTACAACAAAAAAGTAAAATATTAGCAAGTAACACTGTTGAATGGACTCAACTGATCAGCTTATCAGTGCAGCAAAACAATCCCAATAATCTTTCTGGAAAAATATGTTCCATTTGCTTTCACCTCTAATTAAATTAAGTTGGTCTGAGTTCTGTAGAAGTACAGAATTTAATAAGAAAAATATCAAAGGCAGCACAAATGCACTGAGCAATGTGTGAGACTACAGGGTTAAAACAGAGAGCTAAAAATGCGTTCTATTAGTAATGAGGGATCACTGTCTAAAAGACGCAAAAGATGTGCCTAGAAGCCCTTTTGTCATCGCCACAAAATGAGTGAGGCCATGGCATTTAGCACTATGTTCACAGTTGTGATCCTTGTCATGCCACTCTTTAAATACACAGATCTTGCTGGGTACACCTAAGTGTAAAAATGTGAATGCGCAAAATCAAATCGCTTATAGATTATTTATAATAAAATCACCTTGTTCCACTAGAAGTCACACTGAATTTTGTTACAGCAATAGCCTTAAAGAATTGCTTCCTGCACTGGTATTCTGCTCAAAATGCAGCAGGTATTTCAGGCTTACCATAGAGGGACACTCCGGTCTTTAAATGAGGATTTTTCAGCATCAGATGTTGCACTGCCGCTCCACCCCAGCAAAACCCAATGACACCAATCTTCTTCGCACCACATTGGTCCTTTAGATACTTGAGGACGACATCAACTTCTCTGAGACATGAAATGAAAGTGAATTAAGGCTCTAGCCTGCTTCTCTGGACTCTCTGGTGGCTGCTGCTCAAAGTCTGGGTGGGCATCAGTCTGCTTCTGGGACAAAGTGATTGTCTTTGTATCACTCATGGTTTTTCTCTTTCCCTTACTTATCAAACTGTCTTTATCTCAACCCATGAATTTTCTTGCTTTGTTTCCCTTATTCTCTCCCCTGTTCCTCTCGTGGGAGTGACTGAGTGGTAGTCCAGGTTGTTGGCTGCTGGTTGGGGTCAACCCACAATACTACTTTACTATTATTCATTTCTAAAATACAAGACAAACTCCAGTGGAGAAGAAAAATGAGAAAATCAGTCTTCCTAGATAATTGTTACTAGGACATGAGGTGATTTTATGAACAGCATTCCAATTCATTTCACAAAGAGCAGTAGTTATCACATAGGCAAACACAAATAAATGTTTGAGACCCACAGCCAGTCAAGAGCATCCTGTTATCACAAATGTGACTTCTATGCAAAACATCTCTCACAAGGATGAAAAATATTTTATAAAATTGTGGAAGTAAATTTCCAATTGTTTTGGTTTTTTTTAAACCAGCAGTTACGTTATGCAATCAAGCATGTCAGAAAAAATGGGAAAAATACAGATAAGTAGGAAAGCACTATGCTTTGAACTAGCTGTGATGGGCAGCAGAAGAAATGTTCCTTCATTTCACAGTGTTTGCATTTGCACCCTATCTAAAATCTATGGAATTTGTGCCTTCCTGAGGGATCCAAGTGGCCAGAGTGAGCTGCATTTTCTAGCCTTTGCTGGTTCTTTCCTTTTCATTCATTCATTTTTCTTCTACTTTCTGTACAGACAAACACTGGGAACTTTTATTCTTCAAATGTCTACTTTCATCTGTAAAGCACCACTCACATAACCATGAGCAGCATGAAATTTGTATTTGTGGACATCCAGCTATATTTGACCCACTAATAATTTAGGATCTAATTTTACATTTTTACTGAGGCTAAAATTCCTATGAGATACAGATGTCCCCTTGGTGGACGAGGAACAATGGCTGTACTTGTCTATTTTGCCGGCATCTCGTGTTTTCACCCAGTCATTGAAAGATGCCCAGTCATTAGAAGGTTTCCAAGCTTCTTGTCCCACAAAAAAATCTGGGCAGATGGCTCTGCAAGAAAAATGAGAATATTTTATGTCCATGAAATAATACTGAAAAAGAATTAAAGGGAAGGCCATATGTACTACACAACAAATTCTTTTGCTGAATACATAGTACTTAACCCACACCAAACCCTCAATAAGTTTCTACATCTAATAAGGAGACTTAGTATAATTTTCAGTTACATTTTACCCTGTTAAAATTCATTACTTATTTTGATAAATAGTTAACTGCAACTGAAAATCCTTGGTGGTTTCCTACCGCACTTAAAAAAAGGAATCCAAAACCAAACCAAAGAAACTACAATTTACATGGTACGTTTAGCCTCGAAGGAACACTAACCCAGTAATACAGGAAAGAGGATACTCAATATGCTTTTCACATATTTGAGAATTTGTTTCTTTATTTGGCACAAACTAGTATACCTTCCCTTCACAGAAAGATCTTCAGCTTCTTTGGCATTTTGACCATAACAGCCAAGTTGCACAGAGGAAGCAGGCTGCTACAGGCTTATGAAAGATGAAAGACGCAGAACAAGAAAATTTTCTGTTTCTCCCCTCTTCTTCTGAGCTACTAACTCATTATGGTAAGACTACTCAATTATTTTAGACTTCTTTCACTGTTTTAGCAGTAAGCTCCTTGAAGAAAGGGGTAAAGAAAGACTGTGAAGTTATTTGTGCTTGTATGCTTTATATGAAAAAAGTAACAGTTCGTTCAACAAACTTTCCTATTAAAAAGACCCTTTGAAAACAGTAGCATTTCTTACATGTATCCATTAGTTGTTAGCATATCAGCTATGTATCTGGTGTTTGGGAGTTGCCATCCAAATATGTCGTGAATCACAATGACAGCCCTGTCGGTGCTGGCAGAAGGTTTGCAGACGTACGCCTTGATGTGCCCAACTTGAACCTCCTGCCCACGGCCTCCATAGTCAAACCTGTCTCCAATATCACACGGGCAGGGCCTCGATTCATTGGCCATGTGTGATACTAAGGAACAAAAAACATTCAGTAGTGAATACCAAAGCATACCACATGGAAAAAAATCAGAAGACAGCAGTATCATCAGCTGTTGAATTTTTTAATCATTACAGTAATAGGGTGAACATACTCATTACTGTTTGATCTAAAATGAAGCATTAGTCAATAAACCCATTGGGTTATTTAACGTAAGTAAGATTATTGTTAGAGTTTCTTATGTTATGGAGTCTTCAGCAGGGACCTGGTACATGCTAGGATTTCCATGCCCTACAGTGAGTAGTACAATACAAATAAAGTTATGAGCAAGCAGCAAGGCAACCATCACAAACTATTTACATAGCGATGAAGGCAGTCCTTCCACTCTTCATCATGTGTATTTCCTGTCAGGAATGCATAGCTTTCTTTAGTAGACAGTAAAGGCTTAATACAAGACTCAGCATTTTGAAAGAAAAAACCAACAGCTACTGTGTAGAAAGATATAACTACACATAGATTAAGCATTATAATTTCGGGACTTAAAGTATTACATAGCTGACATTTTCAGTGTCAATAAATCCTTTTTCTAAACTGCTGTAGCCTCAGATGTTGCAGATTTTTGAAGAAGGATACTTAGGAAAGATGCCAAAAAAATGTACCAGCACTGAACATAAAAAACCGAATTCTTAAAGTTGAGCCAAATCTTTTATCAAAAAGGTAAGAGTAGAGTATGGTTAATTTTTTTCAAACTATTGCTTAAATGAAAATAAACAAGTAATTCACAAAGGTCAAAAAGTACCAACAGAATCTAACACACCTGTAGATAGCTCCTGGGACTCAAGTTAATGATTTTCTGCCATCAAGCTTATGTTAACCAACTGAGTGAACAGACCTGACTAACTCCTTTGAATATTCACAGAGCATCTCCAAATTATTAAAGAACACAAAAAGAATTTAGATAAAGCTTTACCCAAGCTCTCTAACATGTGTATTGCTGTAGAAACTTTGCTAGTAAAGAAACAAGGACCTTCAAACTCAACTGTGTCAAAAATACAGAGAGAAATAGTAAAACAAAAAGTAAAAAGTTACTGAACTGTCCCCGGACAATTGGGACTTAAAGATTTGTGGCAGAAAAGGGACAGCTTTAGGAAAGCCAGCAAAAAACTTGGCAGCCAGAAAATTTGGACAGAATTCTAGAGGGCAATATATTCTGGATTTGCAGACTTTAAAATTCAGACTCTCCCAAGCAGTATCACCAGAGCTAGATTGTAGATATCAGGAGATTTCATTTTTGCAGATCAGTTGAAGACAAACTGTGTCATATATGAAAGCTGTATTATCTCTGGGCACACATCTATATGAGTATTCTACCTTTTCTTTTTTAAATGAGCCACACCCATAAGCATCCTTTTTTCTCTACAGGTTGTGGTCTGACATATAGGACTTCTAATTTAAAGTATGTTTACCGGTAAAAAAATGAATGAATAAATGAGCATATAAGGCAAAACACAGTGCAAATATATGATAGGAAGAAGTTCATAACTAATTTTTCATTCACAAACTGTTTCCTTTTGATTAGACTAAATCAGAAAATATAAGAAAATCAGGGATTAAGTATTAAAGAAACATATACTTCAGAACTCCAGAAACACAACTACAATGCCCTTACTGGTATGTCCTCAAAGGCTTTAACTGAAAACATTTCATACTAGCTGATAAAATGTAAATCAACACACAGAACATGAAATATTTAAAGATGTAGATATATTCACTGATGAAAACATCTCCAGATGCAGGACTGTGAGGGATAGCATTGGCTTGTATGGTTTATAAGCCATATAGACTTGCAAGCTCTGTAGCACAGGCAAGACACTTCAGTGTTTCTGCATCTGCTGTAGTACATACAAACAGCATCTCTTTCCATTCCTAAGATGCTATTGAAACATTGATTAAAAATGAATTTCGCCCTCTTACATTTATCAAAGCTATTGTTTTAGGAGCATCTGAAAACCCACAGCCTTGGTGTACCACCATTTCCTCCTGCAAGCACTTGAGAATTTACTGGAAGGCCAAACAAGAATTAATTTTCAGATACTTGAATCTAGAGGTAGTAAAAATATAAGGATATTGCTGTGTGGCACTGTGTGCTGTAAACACACTCTCCTGAGTCTTCCTCCTCGAGGTCTTCCCCACCTCTGGAGGGAAAATAACAGGTTTCTGAACCATCACCTCAAAAAGAAAAAAGGCAAAAAAGAAAGAAAGAAAGGGAAGAAAGCAACCCCCAATTTCATTTAAATGAGCTTGCACTCTGCCTGCAAATAAAATGAAAGTCTCCCGAACATGCTGAGTCATACCTCGCAAGCACTTTTTCTACGTTTCTGAGGGGGGGAAAAAAAAAAAAAAAAAAAAAAAAAAAAAAAAAAGCGCCAGGGTTTTTTAAAAAGCCCAAACAGACCCGCACATACCTGTGGCGCTGCGGCTGTGTCCGAGAACAGAAGCAGGATGCAGGAGCTCAGCGTGGCTGAAGTGGATCCCCAAAGTGCTAACTCCCAAAAGGAAAGGGGAGAGCGCCAGGATCAACTTCCTTTAAAAGAGTTACATAAAAGCCCTGCCTTTATCTCGTGCCTCGCCGGGTGACGAAGCCGCTCTTTTTAAATCTGCTCCTTTCAGTCATTTCTCTGCCTCCTCCGCGGGCGGGCTGTGCTGCCGGGGCTGAGCGCCGAGCCCGCTTGTGAACTTGCACGAAATGGTATTCGCCCCCGGAGGGCTTTTTCTTTCCGTTTCCAAAACATCTTGATGTAGCTGAACAATCCACCTAGAAAAAAATTATTTTTTTTTACTTTTTTTTCTTTTTCTTTTTTTTTTCTTTAAAGATTGTTTCTTTGGTTTTAAATGTTGGTGTCGAACTACTTTTAAGCACTACATTGGCATAATTAGTTCCTGAGACTTTTTATCCATGGGTAAAAGTCATATTTAAAGTCATCAGCAGAGTGAGGTAGTGAAGTAGAAATGTCATTTTAAAGCTCTATACATGACAAAGTCATACACTGCAGGAAAAAATATTTTCTCTTCAGAATGAAAATAATTAGTTTTTAAGAAAATAATAACTTTCTAGATTCCTGTACCTCTATGCTATACAATAAATGTTTAAAATACAGACTTTTTTTATCCTACCACAGGATATTTTATACCTTTTTTTTCTTTTTCATTTTCAGTCTCTGGCTGGCCCTTTTATCCTTCTCATTCTCCTGATTTTCTTTTTATGGGATTATTAGGATTATTTTTTAAAGACCTTTAGCTATATATATTAGCAATCCAAAATTCCCTGTTTCCTCAGAGCTGCATCTATGAAGTAGACTAAATGGCTGCTAATCTAACACACCTTTGTCTTACAGTTTAGTCCTCATATGTAAGGTGTTTTCTCATATTCTAAGTGATTTCATTAGTGTTCTTTGTTTGCAATCCCTAAAATAAAGCTAAACAAATGAAAAAAAGCCCTTCCAAGAATTCCAGAGCAAAGTCATAAGGCTCAAAACCCAGCCCTTTTGTTTTATGTTTTTTGGCTCTTCCCATCTGTGCGCCACAAATTATAGCACACAAGGACATTAGGTACTCCATATCAACTTTAGAGAACAGCAGTCAAATAAATAAGAGAACAATTGCGAGTTTTCATCGTTCCCAGAAAACAAAAATGGCAGCAATGCTTGCAGAACCTTCTCTCCACTAGAGCTGTTTAACCACATTTCCACCTTTCTTTTTCATGTGGAAATAATTCTTTATACATAAGACTATTCCACTTTACCTTAAGATTAAAATTTGGAGACTAAACTGCTTTTGATTTCCTATTGTTTCATGTTCCTTGTTATGTAATCCATGCTGATTTTTCACTTAGAAGTCAAAACTTAATTCAATGCTTCCTCGATCTATGTGCATGCATTTGGCTGCACTTCACAATGTAAACACTTGCCTCTTTCAGATCTCACATTTCCAGCTCCTACTCAGAGACTTACAGTTTTATCATGAATATTTGGCTGTACTTGTATGAACTATAATATATATATATATATAAAATATATTACATGTATATTAAAAATATACGCATATAAAATACACATTTATAACATAACTATGATAATATGGTTCAGTAGCTATCTACCCTTTAATTTCACGAAAGTACTGCATGTCAGTTTGGTTTTTTTTGTTTTTGCTTAGTCACAATGTTAGTGTTGCAGTTCACATGCCATTCCAGAATTTATGAATGACTGCTGTTCTCTAAATAGATGTCCTGATTGTCCTTTCCCACATTAACAAACCTTCTAATGCTAATGGAACACCATTAATGTGGAGTTATCCGTGTTTGACACTGGGACAATTAAGGCACAATACACTTCCAGACTTCTGCATTCTTCTCCAGGAAAATATGTGTTATGACAGCTGTATCACCCAGGAAACAGCTGCATTTATACATTACATATAGGTGGTGTCACACGGAAATCAGCAGTTAATCAGCAGTTTCAGGTCAGAATTCTCTCAGTACCTCCCCATGAGAAAGATGGAGGACCATTAGCAGCATGTAAAGTAGGAACACCTTAACAATCCCATTAAGAGAAATACAGGTCATTAGTATTGTTGGCTATCTTTACCTGAGAGACACCACAATAAATATTTCTCTGATGGTATATTTAATTTGAGAGACTGTCATTAGTAAAATTAAGACTTCCCTAAATTACATTTTTCTCCCCATTTAAATGGTATGCAGTCTTTATCTGCAGCACTGAAAAGGTGAAAAGGGACATACACTCATATTTGGTTTTCTTATAGCTTTAGAAGTACGAGCATGATGAAGATATGAGGCAGCTGCGTTCAAACTAATGATCACAAGCCTTTCTCCCTGTTTAATTATGGGGCATAATTAAACCGTGGAAGTCACAAGGTGAGCTAGTGCTCAGCAGTTCAAGCAAGCTAAAAGGATCTGGCAAATCCACAGACTCTTGGTCCACCAGTGGCCATTTGACACAGTTGCAGGAGTGGCATTAGAAATTTCTAGCTCAGAAATCCTGAAGCACAGGTTGCCAGGATGTTTAGCAGGGGGGGATATTCCTTACTGCTGGCCACAAATGGAGGATGGGTGATGAGGAGGATACAGTCTTGAGCTGATGAGACGTGGAGAATTTTGTCATATCACTGACAGAAAAACTAAGGAAGATACATCATGCAAAAACATGGATTGTTGATATAAGCGTCTCCTCAAGCCAGGTCTTATAAGCTCTTGGAGATCTATATCACACCCAAGATACCTCAGCCACCTCAGATGGCATCAAATCAGTAGGGTGGCTTCTGTGGCAGTGCTGGAAATAGAAAAGTTTTAATAAAAAGCAAAATAACAAAGCTCTACAGAGAAAAACCGAGCCAAGGCAAGAGGTTCTTGCTCCTGGTAAAACACCTCACAAAAGTAATTAGTTCCTTTGTTGTCTTCTTTTTCTAGTAAATTGCCTAGGCAGGACTTTTTGGCTTCTGTCCAATTTGCTATCCTTAAGTTTGAGGTGATGTCCCCAAGGCCCTATGAGGTGTCTTTTTACCTAACTGAGGAGAGAAACTTCTGGGGTTTTTTTCCTTTTTAAGGAGACAAATGATAATTTTGTCACTCCGTCAACAGGGGGCACATCCCGACAGATTGTTTTTGAAATGTGAGATTTCTTCTTCAGGCAGCAGCCATGGTTGTAAGCATCACATTAAAATGTCCTGTCTGCAGATTGCATTGCACACTTCAATTCCTAGACTGATCAGTTTAGGAATAGATAGTGTTTCACTGAGCCACAGGGAATACAAGAAAGTAGAACCCCCTCTGAATAATCTTAGGCACAAATTGTGTGCTCTCTTACATCACCTGCTAAACACACATCTGCCTCCAGGATACAAGTCCAAAAAAGCTTCGTGTCTCTAAATGAGCTTCACCAAGCTATGTGTTTGTGTTCCTAAATTTTGGGCTTGTGATTTATTTGGAACATAGATGAACAAAGGCCATAATACATAGATTAATTTACCTTTAGTCTAACTTCAAACATTAATATGAATCTCAAGGAACTGGAAAGTATTTCAAAGCATGTTAAAGCATTACATCCACTTTTGCACTCAGATCCTAGAAATTTTGTTAAAAAGTGGCCTCCCAATTGCAAAGACATGGACATAACAAAGGCATTTTCTGTATGTGAAATATATGGCAGTGCCACATACACTATAATTGAACAAAAAGCCTCTAATAGACACATTTGGGTGCAATTTGGCACATCCTACATGGTTTACAGGTTCCTAGGACTGATAGAAAAAAGTGTCATACAGCAAAGGATAGGTCCCTGAGTAGAGTGATCAAAAACAGCAGTGGAATTCTGATGAAACTTTTCTACTTGGGTTAGTAACCATACTTTTACAAAAGAAAGAGACTTTTAAAAATATCTAGAGAGAGATATTTCATTCTTTGCCTAGGCTACATTAGCCCTTCTATGTCTAGTTCTATTTTTCTGCTTGTTTTTTTTTTTTTTTTTTTAATCTTCAAGCACTATTAGGAGGCTCAGTTTTAACTCACAATTTAGGATGGAAATTAAAACATGCAGAAATCAAAGATGATGGAGGCTATTAGCATATTTGATGAAGGGGAATTAAGTAATCTTTTTCATCAAAAATGCAAGATTTAAGGTTCATGAGATTGAATATATCATCAGAATCTTTGATTAGTCCTAGAAAACATGAAAACAAAATCTTCAATTGACATTTTAGGGGAAATCCAGACTCAAACAGATCTTTCTGCTTCTGCAGTGAGAAATTTTCATATCTCACATAATATCTAGCTTTATTCTGAAGCTACTGGTATCATGGCACCTCAAAACATACCTTTTTATAATAAAACACTTTTTAAATGAGATTCTGGGTATAGATTGAATATCTGAATTAAGGATATCTTCTGAATTAAGGAATCAAGGATATCTTCTGTGCATGCAAGCCTGAGTTCTTTCAAACTGACTGGGAAAAAAACAATGTTTCAGTAATCAGTCCGAAATGTACATTCTGAGAACATCAGGAAAGTGCAGCTCAGCTATCCCAGCTTCTTAAGCAGAGCACAAAAGGAAAGCTGATGTTAAAATATCTGCAATCTAACTTTACAGAGCAACAAAAACAAAAATAACACTCTCTGCTCCTGGGTGAAGTTCTGGCTCTGCAGTATGCAGAGCAGTAGTAAACAGGAAAAAGGAAACTAAATTGGGAAAGTGACCCAAGGACAACATGTATGTCTGTCCAGATCCAAATTAAGGACATGTCTGCTATGACCCTTCCAAAACTAGGAACGAATAACCTCACCACCCTCTTCTTTGCATAGTATCCTTCCAACTCTGCTAAAAATATCTCTCTTCATCAGGTTATAGCCTCATTTGAAAAAATGATGCTGCACCAAGTGTTTAGGCTACACTATACGCTTATGCATGTGTACCTGCTCGTGGGACATTTTTGGATTTACCTACCATAGAGAGATGCACCGGCCTTTAATTCCAAGTGAGTGATCACCAGGTGACCTACATCAACACCACCCACTCAAAAACCCATGACCCCTAATTTCTTTGCACCACGCTGCTCCCTTAGGTATTTGAGTACAGCATCTTCTCTGGAACATGTAAGGAAATGCAAATTGAGGAGC